GCGCTCCCGCCGCCCCCACCGGCGCAGAGCTCCCCGGCCGCACGGTGCCGAGGGGTGAACACCGCCACCCCTGCCTCCTGGGGGGCGGTCTGCAGAGGACCAAGGCAGAACGGCTTCCTTTCTTAGGACTTAACAGAGCGGGTTGGAAAGACAGGGTGTCGTGCTCACAGAGAACAAAGATCAGAGAGGAAACGGCCAAGGAAGGCCTTTCCGGTGCGGCACCCACACGGGCAGCCCCAGGACGTGACACCAAGCACCCCGTGCGCCGGGAGCCACCCTCAGGCACAGGAGAAGGCACCCAAGTGTGACGTGTGACCCACCGACTTACATCAACCTCAAGCTACAGGGAACTCGAAAAACAGACTCATACCAAACCACCCGGAGGAGCAGGTCATAGAGGAGGAGGAGGAGGAACGTGGACCAGAGCGGCCAAGGCCAGCTGGGAGCACAGACCACCGGCCCGAGGAAGGGCAAGCCGGAGGGTCACCAGAGAGTGCGGAACTGAGTCGGACCGAGACAGCTTCAGACACAGGCGAGTCAGAAACGAGGAGCCGGAGAGCCGGGCGATACCTGTAACGCCGTCCAGCGGGCCAGGCGCGGGGGCTCCCTGGACAGACGCCTAAGGGAGCCCTGGCAGCAAGCTACCGGGTCCTGCACATCCGAGGTCATTTACCAGCTCAGACAGACGGGGCAAAACTTTTACGATTTCTCCGGGGGTGGGGGGGCGGGAGGAGGGGGGATAGCTGACTGAAGACGTCCACTTCAAGTTTAGAGACAGAAATGGAAACGAGGGAGGAGGGGCCATGTCACTGTCTGGGGGGTGACGCGTCTTGTCGCCTGGCTAGTCCGAACCTGTTTCTGGAGGGTCTGGAGGGCCGGGAGGGCCGGGAAGAGAATGGAAGGATCTCCAAGGTGAGGCCTCACACAGAGGAGCTCCTCAGTCACTGCATCACTGACCCGCAGGGCAGGAGTCTGCGGAGCGGGGGTCAGGGGGCGGCATTTTTTTTTTAATATTTTTAATTAGTTTACATTCAGTATTATTTTGTATTCGTTTAGGGTGTACAGCATAGGGCTTAGACAATCGTAAACTTTACCAAGTGATCCCCCTGACACCATACCTAGTTATTAACATTACTGACTACATTTCCTATGCTGTACGGTATGTCCCTCGGACTATTTTGTAACGACCAATCTGTACTTCTCAAGGGCCGGCTCTACCTTAACAGCCCTTACTGGACCTCTTCGTAGCCTTCTGCCCGATCTGCACTGCCTACATCAAGCAGGTCAAACTCGCGGCCTGCGGGCCACACGCCTCTTTATTTGGCCCGTGTTAGCCGCGAGTTTGACCTGCTTGGCCCACACCATCAGTTCTTCTGGAAGGACTTTGGGGAGTGCTGTGGATGGTCATCTCCAAATGTGAGAAAATCCTGCAACAACGCAGTCACGCCACATCCAGTCCCCGCTCGGGTGAAAGCAGAAGGGGCGGGCTGAGCTGGGCCGGCACCTGTAGGGCCTACCCCCTCCCATGGACGGGACTCGGCACTAGCTGGTATGGCCGATCACTGCAGGGGAGGACCGGTGTTCACCTGGGAGCTTTTATTATTTGAGCGAGGATGTCCCCTCTAGAAGCTACACCGTACGCTCTGGCCGTTTCCATGGCCACCAGAGGCCCAGTTACGAAGAAGTGCAAGCCAAAGCAAGACCCATCACTCAGAAGAACAGCAGAGGACACACCCCCAAAGCACACACCCCGGCCTTCGCACGCCAGGAGTGAGTGCGGGCGGCTCCAGGGGCGGGGTCATACTTACACTTCCGGGCCGGGTAGGTGGGGTGCGGCTGGTGGTCTGTGGCGGTTGGGGCAGAGGCAGGTTGTTGCTAACTGAAGAGATAGCACAGGCATCCTCAGAGTCTATCCGCTCGAGTCCACACCCCCACGTCCTCACCACTGCTGGCCCTCGTCAGGCCACTGCTCTTAGCACTGCTTCTCCACTTAGTGGTTCACAGGAGACTAAAGCTTTTTAAAAATGCATATGAGACCATAGCAGCATCGCTGGACACAGCACGGCGTTACAGGTGGAAATGAGATATTCACGACATCAAAGCAACTCTGCAAGCCACAGGTCCTCAACGTTTGAAAGCAAAATCCTCAGAGCCATGAACTCTGCCAACAGCCTAACTCAGCCAGGGAAACAGGCACCAGACCACAGCAAGGTGGGAGGCGGCACCAGGCAATGCCGACTGCTGAGGGCAGGTAGTAGCTAATCCAGGGCACGGTGGACAGGGAGCAGGGAGGAGGGAGGCGAGGAAGGTGCACAGGGGGCGGCGGCTGAGGGTGGGGCTACAGACGCGCAGTCAGCTGAGCCACGGTCTCAGCTCCGATGATAGGACACCAACCAATCACATCGGAAACTGAAGCGTCAAAAGCGAGTGACATGAAAGGGGTCTCCATAGAATAACTGAGAACAGTGAAGAGCTTGTTAGGAAATGATTGGAGACACGATCCAGGGGGAAACAGGAACTCCAGGAAAAAGCAAGGCCGCACAGGAACGGGAGTGTAATCCCAGCACACGGATGCCGGGACCAAGGGGACGGCCCCAGTGACAGAAACACAGGTCTGGGCATTTCAATTCCCCAGACCGGGCCCGCCTCCCGCGAGAAGAAATTGCAGTTACAGAACAGCTCTCGTCCTCAACCTCGATGAAGGCGACTCGGAGTAGAGAAGGGGGGTGTCTGGACAGGACGGGGTAGGAGAAGTGAGGGAGGAGACGGGCCGCCTGGGGACCGAGCAGGACTGCCTGGAGCTGGCAGAACAGGAACCAGAGGTAAGACTTGTATCTGACCGGGGGACTCACAGAGACATAAAATAGTGACAAGTCACTTGGGATGAAATGGGAGAGATGTCATCTATGACCCTAACGCTCATCTCTTTTTTGTTTCTTTAAATTCTTTACTGTTTAAAGTATTACATGAGTCTCCTTTTCCCCCCATTGGCCTCTCCCCAGCCGCTCCCACCCCCAGTACATGCCCTCATCCCCCTACTGTCTGTGTCCATATGTAACTCATATGCATGCATGCAAGTCCTTTGCCTGATCTCTTACCCCCTCACCCCCCACCCCCCGCCTTCCCTCATAGGTTGGACAGTCTGTTCGATGCTTTGTCTCTGGTTCTGTTTTTTGTTCATTAGTTTGTGTTGTTCATTATATTCCACGAAAGCCTAACTCTCATCTTTTAAAGCTGGAAATCAAGGAGCAACTTCTAAAGATAAAGTGCAGAAACAGAAGTATAGGGAAGGGCATTACTCACAAATAAGGAGGTAAGTTCCACACGCATTATACACAGCAGTGAGGCTGGGACTGGGCATCGATTCTCCCTGTACTGTTTTATTTCCTCTAATTATATGCCCATAATGCTTTATTCACACTTTTTTAAAATATATTTTATTGATTTTTTACAGAGAGGAAAGGAGAGAGATAGAGAGTGAGAAACATCGACTAGCTGCCTCCTGCACATCTCCCACTGGGGATGTGCCCGCAACCCTGGTACATGCCCTTGACCGGAATCGAACCTGGGACCTTTCAGTCCGCAGGTCGACGCTCTATCCACTGAGCCAAACCGGTTTCGGCTATTCACACTTTTTAAATTAAGAGACAACAGGCCCATGCCCACCCCAAGGAAGCTCAGACGCCCTGCTAAACCTTTCTCCCTTCCAACTAGACTCCTCCCTCCTCTAGCCATCCTGGTACCAGATGCCTAGAAAGAGCTCAGAAACCCCGGTGTTCTGTTGAGCCCACTGCCCTCCACGAGATTTCATCTGCATTGTCCCCGACAGCAAGGCTGGCAGGAGCCAAATCAGACGCATGAGGAAGTCGAAGGGGAACTGTCTGTCTTGCTCACCACTGAATTCCCAGCCCTAGCTCTGCGCCTGGCCCCTGAGACACTCAACCAACTCTTGTGTGCCTCAACCTTCTGCAGAAAGTCCAGTGCTACACACTCTCCAGGAATCCAAAGTAGAGCTGGGGGGGTCTTCCCCCCACCTCCTGCTACCCCACCCAGTCCACAGACTCCTGGGGAAATGCTCTCCCCAAAACCCACCTGGACCAAACCTACCAGAGCTTCTACCAGCATCTACCAGAGCATCTTGTCTCCTCCCTCCTACAGGGTACTTAGTTCCTATAAAACAGAACCTTCTTTCCCACCCTCTTGGGTTGTGTGCTTTAGGTTGGAGTCAGCCAATGATGGCCCAGATCCAGCCCAAGGACTATTTTTCCAAACAGTTTCACTGGAGCGTGGCCACACTCACTGACTGACGTATTTATTATCTATGTCTGCTTCCACCCGGCAGGGGCCCATGTGGCCCGAGAAGCTTAAAGTATTTACATGTGGCCCTAAGTTTCACAGAGTCTGCTGACCCCTGGGCTGGGATATACCTCATTCGCCTCCGAACTGGAATACGATGCAGCTCCCAACCACAGTCCTGTCTACAGCCCGGCTTATTCCAGCAGCAGATTCTACACACATCGGCATCAGCCATTCCCCATCAGCCTGTGGATCCCACCACTTTGCTGCTGTATTTTGTTCATCAACCTCAACAGCGCCCCCTGTCTGAAACAGCGTTTCTCCAACGTGGGCCTTTCTCACACCACCTGCACAATTTTGACACACCCACAATCCTACATACTACTTAGTTCATGTTTTAAGTTCAAACTCATTTTTAAACTTAAATAAAACGGACGCTTTTATAGCAACACCCAAGGAAGGAAATCATTAATGCTTGCCCATATATAGAAGGCAACTCTACAAATAAACACAGTGAAAAGCAAATTGTAGTATTAATTTGTTAAGTGGGTACCATGCTGCTTAGGTCTAAAGTCTGCTCTCTCTGTGTTAGAAAGAGGACTAGAAGATATAAAGAAATGCGAAAGACATCTTAGCACCAAAACGCACCTGTTCTTGGAGATTCTATCAGGAATGGAAGGGAGGGGTGGGGGTGGGAGGAGTTACTTTTTCAACAGGTGGTTCAACTGCATTCAATGCCAAGTTCATATTCTCCCTATAATCAGCTCCTGCCACACTAACAATGAAAATCACTGCATCCTCCACACACTTAATATGCAAAAGGGAAAGGAAATTTTTGAATTATCCAGCGGAGAGATCTTAGAGCTGAAAAACCTTGAATTAAGCAGAATTGTCCTCAGTGAAGATACCTTCTTGGAAGCCTTCTGGAATGATCCACAACAGGTATAGAGGGTACAGGACAAAGACCCTTCGGGCCAGAAAGGAGGACAGCTCAAATCTCACAGAAGCCCTAACTGGTTTGGCTCAGTGGATAGAGCGCTGGCCTGCGGACTGAAAGGTCCCAGGTTCGATTCCGGTCAAGGGCATGTACCTTGGTTGCGGGCACATTCCCAGTAGGGGGTGTGCAGGAGGCAGCTGATCGATGTTTCTCTCTCATCGATGTTTCTAACTCTATCCCTTTCCTTCCTCTCTGTAAAAAATCAATAAAATGTATTTTTTTTAAAAAAAAAAATCTCACAGAAGAGAAAAACCGAAATTCAGTCTTGGAAAATCTCCCAATGCAGCCTGCCAGTTTATTTATTCCTAAGAGGAACGGTTTTTACAGAAAGATCATCCACCCAAAATTTTTCTTCATTTCCCTAAAGGCTCAAGTGCCCTCATCCACCAAACACAGGTGTTGCGAATCGTTTCCCTCGGCTTCATTTATCGTGGTCATTTCCCTGGGGGCAGAAGGGCTGCCCGACCCCAAAGCACATCTCCTACCCACCCAGGTCCACAACGGAAGCCCCTGTGTCCAGATGAAGTCCTATGTGGATCCCCAGTAAGTAAACACAGCAGGTCCTCAATAACACCGTTTTGTTCAACGTCACTTCATTACAAGATTGATGCTTATATCTACTGGCCTACAGTAAAACCGGTTCCGTTAAACATCGTTTCGCTTCAAGTTACACAACCTATCGGCAACATTAAGTGAGGACTTACTGTACAGGCAAACACTGGTCACTTTAGAGGTGTCTGACAGCTGCCTTGCCCAGCCACTCCCTCACCGCCACTGACCCGCCCAGGGCACCCCCAAGGATCCCTAAGGATCCACGGCAGTTGGACATCCATTAACCCTTCAAGTTCTCTCTAAGTAAATGGCTTCCCCTCTACCCGCATGGAATGAGCGCGCCATTCACCCACCAGGGGGCAACGTACCAGAGCCTTGGTTGGAGCCTAAGAGAATGGAGGAGGGCGTCTCCCTGGAGCCAGAAAGGTCGAGGGTCTAGAAATACAAAGAGAGAGAGATGGACTCATGGCACCGGGGCCCATGGAGCCCCCAGGGGAGTCCAGGGATCCTTGGGGGTGCTCATTTCTGCCCCCGAGGCACCTGTGCCCTCTGCCTGGTGACGCAGGCAGCGGAGGCAGGTCAGCGGGGGTGGCCCCCCACCTGTGCGCTGTCCCCAGGCCCGACAGGCTGGACCACAGCCCTGGGGCGGCCCTGACTCAACCCTCAGCCTCAGCTCCCAGAACTCGCTGCCTCCGCACCTCCGCTCAGTGGCCTGCCAGCCCTCCAGAGCTGCCATCTCCAGAGAGGAAGTCTATTCCTCCCAAACCGTGTCAACTCCCTTGTATTTCACATTAACCTCTCACGGGGAAATATCGCTGGAATCAAAGGGTTCTGACTGGTGGGATAATGACTTATTTCTCTCCTCACACACACGGAAGTGAAGTCATTATGACCAAAAATGTAGAAAATGACCCACATGCCACCTACAATGCTGTTGACCGACAATCCATTGGACACTGCCCACGCGGGGCAGGGAGAGATGCGGCCTCCACTCCCCCAACCGCAGCCTCGAGTCCCATGCGACTATGGGCATCAGAGGAACTCACACCCCCGTGTGGCTCGTGGCTGCAGACTGGGCAGCGCAGACTCAGAGCAGCCCCTCACCACCGAAGATTCTACTAGACAATGCTGTTCTAAACCTCGACAGATAGCAGCTGTCTAGTCACACGAGTGTCACCTTGGACTCCATACTCCTCTGCCCCCGCCCGGGTGCCCGCCGGTGAGAAGGCGACCTGCTAACACCTGCTAAGACCCATTCCCCCCGCAGCCTGACTGCCCCACCTTGAAGACGGACCATCTACTGCAACGGGCGAGTTTCAGGGAGGCAGGCCTGGGGACAGGAATGGACTCTCCTGGCCCAGGGGATCGGCGTCGCCCCATGGCGTGCGGGTGCTCACCGAGCTGCTGTCCTTGCTCTTCTCAGCAGACGTCTCCTTCTCTTTCGAGGCGCTGGCTGTGTCTGAAGGGGCGGCCTGTGTGCTGGAGGAGGACCCCTGGGAGGACTTGTTTAGTGTTTCTGCGTTCGACTCGGAATCCGCTTCCGGCTGAGGGGCGGTAGCTGGGGGTGAAGGGGAGAGAAGCCACGTGTAAGCCGAGTGCCGTGGCCTCCGGACCTTCAGGGACCACAGCTCGGCACATGGGAGCGCCACGGTTCCGCACACTGACCCACCCAAGGGGGCCAGACCTCCCGTTCTCCAGAAGCTGGAATCCAGACCTGTGTGAAAATATGGTCACGCTTATAGGAATTTGTGTTTTCCTAAATGATTCTGGAGACGAAAGCATGTTCACAGAATCAATGAAGGCCCAAGTGAGGAGCCAGCTACTGCTCACCTAGGATGGCAAGCTTCCTAAGTTCTAGTTCCAGAACGAGTCTAGCCCCACGCAAAACTGCTTCCTTCAGAGGAGGCGGGGGAAATCCACGTGAAAAGCAACATGATGGTCAGAGGCAGGGAGCCTCGGAGGACAGAAGAAACTTGGACAACCGGAAAACTAGGGATGTGAGAGAATTTCGGGAAGAGGGACATGATGCTGCTGCAAAGAAAGGAGAGCAGAAGGGGACTCTGGTCGTCGCGTAACAACGCAAGGGGTCATCAGACACATCCAGAACCTGGGAGATTCAAAGTCACTAGAAGAAGAAATCTCCCTGAAGAAGGTTAAAGGACATGGCAATGTGTGGTTTAAACTCGTCTTCTTAGAAAAAACAACAACTTTTAACGGGAGATTATTGAAGGTGCTTCTCACACCTGGCCTCTTATGCCGTCACCTTTGAAAATCCTGCCAATCTACAGACACACTACCTTGTCATATTATTGACGACTTTTACACTTAAATACTTAAAATGGACACTTCTAATTCTAAGCACATATAGCTAATATTATTTGCCATCAATAAAAGCTAGCTGTAAACACTTTTTAAAATAGCATTAATCCATTCTAACGGGACAGTGTCTCCTGCCAGAGGCTACTGGCTGAGACCCGCGTGCCATGTGCTAGGAAGAGATTGCAAGACTGGACCAGTTCCACACCAACGTTTCCTTCACCAGAACCGGAATCCTTACGACTTAAAGCCCTGAGTCCCGGATCCCCTAAACAGCAGGCTTTCTCCACTTCGGTATCATGACAGATACCGATCCGATCACGTTCCGTGTGGGCAACCACCCTGTGCCACCATCCCCGGCCTCTACCTTCTCGATGCCAGTAGCCACCCCTCCGCTGTAACCACCGCAGATGTCTGCAGTCACCGCCAACGCCGTGGGGGACAGGACACAGACATGGCTCCCCACTGGGAACCGCTGCAACTCGCATGAAACTAAACTCATCTGGGCTGCCACTGCAAGCCCCACACTTGGGCAAATAACAAAGAATCTAGAGGTTCTAATACCTGCACCTGTAGTCTCTGCTCTGTGTGTGTGTGTGTAAGAGAGACACTATGTGTGAGTGACGGATGGAGGAGGGGCTGGGCAACGCCCCGCTCCGAGTCACCCTCCTGTGGCCCGTGGTCCCCGGGAGCTGGGCTGGACACGCCCCGCGTGGCCGCACCTGACTGGGTGCAGGACTTCATGTGCTCGGGCCAGTGGGCCTGCTGGCAGGGGTAGTCGCAGTAGCTGGTGTTCCAGCAGCAGTAGAAAATGGCCTCTTTCTTGCAGCTGGCGCACCACTGCTTCTTCTTGGTCTCGTCCACCGCCTGCTGCTTCTCCTGCTCCAGCTGCTTCTTCACCTCGGCGATGAGCCGGTCCCGCTCCTGCTCCAGGCTCTGCCGCATCTCCGCCATGGTCAGCTCTGGCAGAGGAGGGGAGAGGACACTGGCTCCATCGCCTGTCCCTGGGCCCGGGCAGGGGTTGTTCAGACCAGACCTGAGGCAAACCCGGGCTTGGAGATAGCCCGGCTGTGCGACACCCCTCCCGCCCTGAGCCCCAACGTCTTCGTCTGTAAAATGGGCACGTGTCACAATGGCATGACATTTGCCTCATCATATATGACAGTCACAGGACATTATCTCAATAATGATAGAGCCATCAAGGCAGCACCACAGTAGTTCTGTGGGAAGCCCTCAAATAAACCCACAAAACAACTGCCACTGAACTCACTCTGAACTTTACCATCGGCACCAGCCTTTCTTTCTACTGAGTACTTACACAGCACCTGCTATATGCAGAGAGTGTTCTAAGCACTTTTGAAATCTTAACTCATTTAATCCAGATACTGATCCTATGAGGCAAGTACTACTATAATACCCTTTTCAGAGATGAGAAAACTGAGGCACACAGCTAATAAGGGCAGAGCTGGGACTAGAACTCAGACATGCTGTCTTTCTGGTGTGTTTAGCAGCAATGGAGACAAGGCACTGTGGTAGATCATTATGCTAACAGGTCAACAATGGAACTGCTCAATCTACTGAGATTTTTCTACTTTTACTTTAGAAAATAAGTCCATTTGCAATTCACCTGGGAGAGATCTGTACATTAAAATAAATGGTTCCCCAATTCCTCAAAATCCTCTTCCTGAAGTTGAAGAAGGACCCCCTCCTAAACAGAGCAGTAAGGAATATTAATCCCTTGTAAAGGAGCCGTTGCAGGCTCTATCCCTGGCCCTCGTTCGGGCACGTGTGGGAGGCAACCAATTGATGTGACTTTCTCTCAAACACGTTCTCTCTCTCTGCCTGTCTCTCTCCCTCCTTTCCACTCTCTCTAAAAAACAATGGAAAAATATCCTCGGGTGAAGATGACCAAACAAAAAAAGAGAGAGAGGTTATTTGACCTGACTAGAAAAACAAGAAGCAACAACTTCCTGGTGGTAACACACTAAAGAGTGGAGGGCTGCTCCTCTGGTTGGCCTCATAAGGATTTGAGTTTGCAGGGGGTGATTTCCGCTTCTATCCCTGGGGAGCGGTGGGCACAGCTGGGCACGCCTGCCCAACAAAGACAGCCTACGTTTGTTTCCAGCATCCTGACCCTGGGACTGATATTACATGAGGGTCTGGAAGAAACAGGCTCTACCTCTGGGGGAAAAAATAATCACCAATATTTACACAGAATGGTAGGTGGAACAGCAGCCCATCTAATCCAGGGACCAACAGGGCAGCTTTGTCTCTAGCGTGGGCTGCACAGGCAATATTCAAAACTTAGAATACTCCACAGTCAGCGGTTCGGGGGGCAAGTCTGGATGTGAATCACGTTGGAACGATTTTGAACATCTGCCTTAGCATGTCTGTGCCTCAGTTTCACCTGAAAACTGGGACCGGAGAGCCCTCTGTCGCAAGGGGTCCCGTAAGAATTAAACTGGCTAACTTATAAAAAGTGCTTCAGAAGGTTTCTGGTTCTAGGTTAAGAGTTTAATACGTCGGAGCTGTGGGTGCTGCTGTTACCGTTATTTTGTTGATGCTCGTGTTTTCCAGAGAGGAAAGGAGCGGCTTTAATACCTGCTTTCATGCCTGGGTCCTCCCGGTGGGCCCCCCAGGAGCGGGACAACCCCTGGTGCACATCTGACTCAATTCACATGGGGCCTGACTCCAGAGGTTCAGGGACGTTCCCCGTCCCCGACCCCGAGACCCCTCCCCAGGCCTCACCCAAGTTGTGTTTCATCTCGGAGAGCTCCTGCTGGTGCAGCCACTGAAGCTTCTCGATCTCAATCCTCAGCCTGCGAATCTGTAATGACAGAGAGAGACGTAAAGGGCGGGTCTGGGAGCCGCTCACCCGTGGAGCCCGAGCTCTCCTGGCTGTCAGGTCAACGTCAGGTGGTGAAGGAGCTGCTCTCCACACGGCTACAGTCCAGAGAGAGGCCAGTGCGTTAACCCAAGTGCACAAGACATTGGTTCAGAAAACTAAATATCCAGGTGACTCGCTGCTCTCTCCTGGGGCCTCTCCTACGCCTGCTAGCCACACGGCGCTCTGCCGAGGCCCCTCGAGGCACCTTCCTGAAGACTCTCCCTTCGCCTGAGCGCCAGGCTGGGCCCGCCAGGCCCTCCTCAGGCAATGACTTTGCCTGGGATTCCCACCTCCTACGTGTCCCTCTCAGCGACCTCAAGAAACCCTGCCACTTCTCCTTTCACCTGGTGCCCTTTCTGCATCTGGCTCGCAGGGAATTCGCCTGAGAGAGAAGTTCGTGGAGGCCGATTTTTACAAGTGGTCACTTTGCAAGTGGGCATTTTAGCGTTTCACGACTGGATTCCCCAGGCCCTCACAGAAACTGTGCAGGCTGGGGCCACACATTCTCAGACAACGAGGATCTCTTATAGAAAAAGACCATGGAGCCTAACCAGTTTGGCTCAGTGGATAGAGTGTCGGCCCGCTAAAAATAAATAAATAAAAAGACCAAGGAGCCAATTTTACAGCTTCACCAGTGGATGAACTCAGGCGCTGGTTGGGGCGGTTTTATAAAAAATGAACTGATCACACACAGCATCAGCCTTCTGGCTCAATGAGAAACACCCTCCCCAACAACTCCATTCAGCTGGGCCAGCCTGGCGACCGGGCCAGGCCCAGAGGGATTTCCCCGAGAAGCTCCTTCATGGTGCCATCCTACAGCGGCCCACACAACACTCGCAGCCAACAGTGAGGTAACGGTCGTTTCTGACCTCAGCTATCGTGCTCCCAGTAGTGTTTTTGGAGAGGTCGTTATAGATTTCTGTCATCGTTCCTTTGATTGCATCCATCATCTGAAAATAAAAAGAGAAACAATTCAGGCAATCACTTCCCCGAGGCTTTTCTAGATGTGGCACCTCTAAACTCCACCTGCGTGAAGCAGCAGTCTCACCTGGGGGCTCACAACTGGTGAGGGAGTAGTGGAGGGGGAGGAGGGACACTGGCATCCAGCGGGTAGAATCCAGAGGCACCCTAAACATTTACAGTGCACAGCACAGCCCCCACAACAGCATTACCCAGTCCAAAGGTCACTAGTGCTGAGGTGAGAGACCCTGATATAAACCAGGGTCGGGACCACCCACACGTTCCCTGTCCCATCTGCCAGGACAAGTTCACAACCATAAAGCTAGTTTCTATGGCCACAGGCTACATTGGAGCGGTCAACGGCCCCAGGAGCATTTGGAGTAGCCAGCACAGGGGTTGGGGGGCGGGGGGGGGATATTTGTTTTGTTGCTTCTGCTGTTCAATTCTTTCCCTTTAAAAAACAAAACTGTTTCATTGAGATACTAGAGGCCCGATGCACGAAAATTCGTACAAGAGTAGGCCTTTCTTTCCCGGGCTGCTGACACGTTTCCCTCCAGCCACCAGCAGGCACCCGGGACCCAGGCTGGCTTTCCTCGGGCGGCCCACAGGCACCTGGGACCCGGGCTGCTTCCTTCCAGCTGCCTGCAGGCACCCAGGCCCAGGCTAGCTTCCCTCCGGCCCTGGCTTCGTCAGGAAAGACGTCAGGAAGGTCATTTGGCTATTTGGTCTAATTAGCATATTAGCTCTTTAATATAGGATCATTGCTAAACCCCATTTACAGTGTACAATTCAGTGGCTGTTAGCATATTGAGTTCTACGTCCATCACCACAATCAATTTTAGAACCTTTTCTTTACCCTAAAAAGAAACTCCACTCCCCATTAACCTTCACCATCCCCCCAAGATGCCCATCACCCCCCAGGCTCCCGACAACCACTAATCTGCTCCCTATCTGTTCAGATTAGCTGGACCCAGAGAGTTCACATACGTGGAATTATTCAGTGTGTGGTCCTCTGGGACCCGCTTCTTGGACTGAGCACACTCTTCTCAAGGTTTATCTGTTCCCAAAGGTGTATCAGTACTCGGTGCCTTCTTATGGCCAATAATATAGTCCATTGTGTGGGTGTAGCTGGTTTGTTATCTTAATGCCTTTGATTAGGGCATTGCCTTTCCAGTTTGTGTAACTATCGGACCCATGAGCACACCAGCAAGTGTGTGACATCAGCTCAGGTCCACAGAAAAAGCTGAGGACCAAGTGTGTTTGCAGGATGAATTCCCCCTACCACCCACGTGCCGGCTGACCCTCCAGCATCCGGGGAAAGAGGAGCAGACAGAAGAACAGACGCGGTCTCGGGCGTGGCCTGGCTGCTGCGGAGTCTCCCCTGTGTTTTGCAGCTTCAGCGCAGAACAAAGACTGCCCTGGTATCTAATGCCCGAGATCTGAACCCACCACTACCTCTTACCACCCACCCTCTCCCGACCTCAGTTTCCCATGCAGACAACAAGGATAACAACAGCGCCCCCTCGTAGAGTGTGCAAAGGGATTAAAGAGAAAACCATGTGCAGTCTGTAATTCAGCCCCTGCCACACAGAGTAGGTGTTCATAAAGAAATACCCGTTTATCTGATTTTCACAGAACAATAAATTCACGTGAGCATGTAATTGTGAAATCCTGCCAACCCCCAGAACAGTAACCCGACTTGACCCCCAAGTGGGGCGCTCCCCGCTTGCTGCGGCCACACTGGGACGCTGCCAGCAAAAACACTGCTTCGTGCAGCTTCGCGGTCCGATGCTGTGCCCGGCCACCTGACCCCACGGCACCGTCCACGTTACAGTATGAGAACAAAACTGCTTTACGTGAAAACTTCAGAAAATGGATGAAATTCAATCCCTTCTGAACGCCACGGTTACATTCCATTCTCAAGAAATCATGAATCTGTGGACGGACTTTCACTCTTACTTCCAAATATAACCAAGAACGCTACGTTCGTCAAGAGCACCCTTCTGCCAAAACACACAAATCTGGGTCTTCAACTCGGGGTCACCCTGGAGACAGGAAAGTTCATTGGCTCCAAAAACATGTCATCATGTCCATTTTCTTAACAGCAAAGAAAACTGCTATCAGAAAGTTCATCCCTCAGTTTTGCTAAGAGTAAAGGGGGAGGCAGGAGGTAACGATAAAACTGGCGATGGGAACCGCGGCTGGTGTGGCTAAATGGGTGAGCGTCATCCCATGCACCAAAATGGTTCAACTCCTGGTCAGGGCACATGCCCAGGTTTCGGGCTCAGTCCCCAGGAAGGGGAGTGCAGGAGGCAGCCAATGGATGCATCGATGTTTCCCTCTATCCCTCTCCCTTCCTCACTCTCTAAAACCAATAATAACTTTTTTTCTTAATGGCTGCAGGAGCCGTTAATACTGGCTCCGTGAAAACCACTAGCCAAGTCCAGGCCTCAGTTTTCTCATCTGTAAATAGACAGCTTGGACCAAATCAACGGAAGGTGATACACGCGTTAACTGCAAGCAGAAAAGAGGCCATTTGGGCAATTCCAGGATCTTCTCAAATCAGTAATGAAAAAATTACTCCCCTTTCAATTCTCTGGAAACCCTACAGATTGGGTTAGGAAGAAAGTCTCAGATTGGTGCCATTATGTGTCTTTAACACTTTGATGATAAAAGGAATCGACGAGGAATGGTATCTGGTGAGGTTAAATTTAATTTTAAGTCAATTTAAATAAAATTTAATTTAAATAAAAATATTAAGTCAGTACTACTAGTTCAGGAGGTGAATGGGTAAGACAAAAATCTTGAGAATGGCCCAAAATAACCGACATTTGAATCTTCCCATTGTGCACTCTATAACCATTGATGCGTTTTATTCAAAAAGGGGAAGATATACATCCCCAAGACTAGATTCTGATTACCTCTTGAGCCACTCTGCATCTTAAGTAGGACTGGTTGAAAACAGCCACATGCAAGAACAATCAGTTTGTGGGGACACCGGACATGTGGTTAGCAGGCTGCATGAGAATTCACAAACCAGCTCAAAGCCACTGTCTAGATCAGTGATGGCGAACCTATGACACGCGAACTCATTTTTTTGGTTGATTTTTCTTTGTTAAATGGCATTTAAATATATAAAATAAATATCAAAAATATAAATCTTTGTTTTACTGTGGTTGCAAATTTCAAAATATTTCTGTATGTGACACGGCACCAGAGTTAAGTTAGGGTTTTTCAAAATGCTGACACACCAAGCTCAAAAGGTTCGCCATCACTGGTCTAGATCCTGGCTGCTACCCTTCAAATCCCCGCCCAACCACTCACTAACTGTGTGACCCTAGACAAGTTGCATAACCTTGCTGGGCCTCAATTCTCTCATCTATGAAATGGGGATGGTAACAGTACTCACACCCCATCAATTTGTCATTAAGAATAAAACTAAGCCACATAGAAAAAGTGCTTCTAACAGTGTGGAACCCACAGTACAAGCCATGCACACATAAGCTGTTGCTGCTGTCATCTTAGCCAGTACGACCGACTCCAAGATGGTCGGCCTGGTGACCTTCTCATCGATGAAGAAGGTCGTGGGTGTCATGCCTGTGACGATGCTATGTAAGATGGAAACTTCCATCTTGCTCGCAGGCTCTCTCCCCCTGGCTTTGGTGGAGCGAGCTGCCATGTGGGGAAGGCCCACACAGCAAGGGGGACCTCCAGGGCACAGCCAGCTGGGAACTGAGGCGGGGAAAGGGAATCCTTCCCTGTAAAACCTTCAGGCGAAACTCCGACCCTAGGACTGCGCGCAGCCTGAGGCCTGAGGAAGGACCCACTGAGCCTGACCCACACAAACTGATAAGAAGCCTGTGAGAAGTTGTAGCGATTTGTTATGCAGCAACAGGTAACTTACATAATTCCTTGAGAGAAGGAATTTTTTCAGATGAACAACAAAAACTCACTGGTAAAACATTAGGTCTAGAAGTTTCATGCCATCAGAATTGAAAAAGATTCTACCTTTAACACAACCTAACAGCAACTCTTTATCATAAACAAGACGTCAAGAATTCAAGAAACAACTGTTCTTAACTAGTTCCACCCATTCTCTCTATAAACGTAATAGTTTACTCACCAGTAACCAATTTACTTTATAACTACTATTAACCGTTACTGCTAGTGACACGCCCACGATGAGAAGTTAGGGAACAACAGGCACCCATTCGGCAGCTCGGCCCCAACCACCTGCTGTGCGCCTGACCTTCTGGGGCTGGCATTCCAATGGCTGTTCTCACCGAGAGGTCTGCTGGAACGTGCCTGCGCGTCACCGCAGAGCACACGCACAGGTCGCCGAGATCTCCATGTTTTATTCGCCCGATTCAACAAGAGCGTAAGAGCACTTGGCAAATCAAGAGAGAAAAGAAAAACACCTCACTGAGAACACCCCCAGTGGGAATCCCGTCTCCACACCAGTCAACAAGGACTCCGCCCGAGAATGGGCCAGTCGAGAGAGAGAGAGAGAGAGAGAGAAAGAGAGAGAGAGAGAGAGAATCTTCCTTCCCGTCCTCTTGGTTCCTGGAAAAAACTAGGTGCGGGCATCATACCTTGCATGCCTCACATTTAAGCCTCTGTCACTTTGGTTCCATGTGGCTACAAAATGCAAAACAAACCAACCCCCAGTCTGTTGTTAACTGAAGGATCAGAAACTTGTTCCCGCCGTTAAGGAAAACCTGTCGGTCGTGAGCGACTCCGTGCTGAAGGGTAATTCTGATTCTAGGCTATCGTCGTCCTGTGAGGTACGGACTTTAGGATCTGAGCGTCTCGGAGTAAGGGTCAGTCTATTCTACATTTCTCTGCGGAGGTCCAACTTCAGGCCCAAAGGGGAGAATTCAGTCTTGGAGCTCCTCAGTGAAACGGGGCCTGCCGTCCTCAACAGCCCCTGAGAGCTGGGAGGTCGTGACCCAAACAGTACCCGCCAGGAAGCGGGTTCTCTGAATGCCCGCCCGCCCGCCAGGTGCCCACCGGCACTCACTTTGCTAGTGTACTTGGCGATGTCCGCGGCGACGTCGGCGGAGGCAGTGGCGATGGGAAGGTCTGCGTTGATTGAAGAGGCCAGGGTGCTGGTGGCCCCCGAGCTGGTGACCAGGGGTGACGACTGAGTGCTGGTCACCAGGGTGATGGTGGAGGTGGACGGGCTCTGCGTGATCTCCTTCTGCTGGACAGCTGGGGAAACAAAGGGTCCCGGTCAGCCCCGGCTGCAGGAAGGGCCGTCCCCACGGTCCCCACGCGCAGCTGTGGTGAGGGAGGGAAATGATAAACACCTGCGAGCTTTCACTCTCAGGGGAGAGACGCTCTCCTAACCAAACTCCAGCCAGGCTGCTCCGCGCCCTTTCTCGACTAATCCTCAAAGGTAGTCTGTAAAGACTTGGCCTCTAACGGCTCCAGGCAGCATCCCTCAGGTGACCCAGCCTTCCTGAGAAAACTCAAGGCCGCCAAATAAATGGCTGTTCCAGCCAACACCTACTGATGAGGCCCCTGTCTGCCAGCTCTGTGGAAGAAGGGCCTCGCTTTGATAGGTACCAGTCAGCAAATTCAGGTGGTTTCTCATGGACCAACCCCACCTCCCACTTTTTGTAAAATTTCACTTCCCTGACTCTATTGAGTCCCCACTCACCCCCCCTTGCTATTCCCTCGTCCTCCTTGACTCCCCACTCTCCCCCCCTTGCTATTCCCTCGTCCTCCTTTTAAAACACCCAGTCACCTCTGTACAAATCAAAGTTCACAATGGACTTCTTTCCATATTCCAGCAGGACATTGCGGATTAAATTCTGTCCCTCCCACTTCAACTAGTGTTCAGTTTTGTTGGTCTTTGACACAAGACAACGTGCAAATTGAGAACCACAGCACTGGGCCGCCTTCCTGCCTAAGCTCGGAATGGCCCTGGGGTCCGAAGGCAGAAGCCTGGGACCCGCCATCTCTATCTCAGAACCCGATCAACACTTTAAACAGTGAGATCAAACCAGTTGTACCCCAACTTTGCCTGTGCAATCGTCCAGTGTTCCTGCTCCCCAGTCTTGGAAGGGTTTCTACTGGGGGGCCCAATGCAAGATCTGGCTGGCTGCCTTTTAACATCCTGGCCTGGTGCTACTCCTAAGAGTCCGACTAGCCCTGGCCAGTGTGGCTCAGTTGGTTGGAGCGTCATCCCGTGCCAGCAGATGGCAGGTTCGATCCCTGGTCAGAGCTCGAGCAATGTTTCTCTCACATCAATATTTCTCTCTCTCTCTCTCCCCCTCACTTCCCCTCTAAGGTCAATTTAAAAAAGAGAGAGAGAGAAACAAAAAAAAAAAAAAAAAAAAAAGTCCTAATCACTAGGGTGCACTCACTGTACAAGTTTCAGTGAAGGAGCCCAACCTTGGATGCAGGTGCCCCGTGGAGTAAGATCTACGCCGGCGCTCACAAAAGCTGAGCAAACGGCATCCCCTTTGTCAGCTCCAGACGGAGCGCCCTGCACGGCCAGAAGGGATTTTTATTCTGCACCTTCAGCAACTGGTTCCTGATGCTGGCTCTTCCTGTGGATGTGGCTAATTCCTTGCCAGTAAGGTAGCCTCTGCTACCAACTTCTCACTGCACTCATTCCAAAATAACGCCAAAAGGTTCACGACAGGTGTGCACAGGGAACGCACACAACGGCATGCATCGCAGCGCTGCTCCCAGGATAAAAACGGAAGCAGCCTTCACACAAACCAGGGAACGCTATGCAGCAGTCTGCAAGAGCAAGGAAGCGCTGTGTGTACTGACGTGGACAGACCTCCAAAACATGCTGATGGGTGAAAGACAATGGTACCATTTTCATGTCGTAAAAAAGAAAAAAGGGGGGAAAAAGTAGAGTCATATATATGTATAAATATATATGCATACATGCATAAAAAAGGTGGTACGGTTCACAGTGGCCGCTGAGACGCATAAAATGAAAGGTCGATCGGAACAGTAGACGTGTGTCAGTATCTCGAGAATATGCGCATGTATCGTTTGCAAAATGAAAAAAAAAAGGAAACAAATGTAAAAAATGCGAGTTGCGAAACAACTTTTAAAAATAATGCCAAGTGGAATGTGCACGGCCTTGGGGCTGCCGCGGCCAGGAAACGAAGAGGGAACTGAGAAAAACAAAACAACGGTTTCTGTTTTGTGTCTCCTGTCGATGTGGCACAGAGGGCCGGGGTGCCACGGAGAGCAGAAGGGGAGCTGGTACCTTTCACAGCCTGTCTGGTCTGATATCGCGTCCCCTGGGAAGACTGAGGCTGCTGCTGCTGGCTGTGCTGCTGCTGCTGCTGCTGCTGCTGGCGCTGCATCTTCTGCATGTGCCACTTTTGGGAGGACGTTTGAAACTTACTTGAGGAGTTCCACACGACCCGCTGCACGGCCGGCGCAGTCTCCTTCGGTAAAAGCGGCCTCTGCTTTTTCACTGGGCTTCCTGTGATGGTGGCGGTGGTGGTGGCCGCCGGGGCCGTGACCGTGGACGTGGTGCTGGTGGTGGCCGTGACACCAGCTGTGGGAGTTTGGGAGGATGCGCGGGTGAGGACTGGCGTTTCGGGGGGAGACTGGCTACCGGCCGTAGTGGACAGTGGTGGAGCTTTAGCTACAACGAGAGTCACTGTGTGGAAAGAATAAACAAAAAGTGGATTTGAGTCAGGTTTGCCGGCAGGGCCTCTCCGCCAGCAAGTTCTCAGGGAAACAACCGAAGGCCAGAAATGACCAGCAAATTCAGTGCATGCCCAGGAGCACATTCTCACCTTATCTCCTTAGCGCCTCACCTTGGAGACACGCCTGCCAAGGCCCCTGGGGGGAAACAGGTGACCCAGGCCCTGCCCTCAAGCTGCCCATCAACTCCTGGGCTGGTTGGCTACAACCCGTCTTGTTTTCCAAAGTGAGACTTGGGTAAGCACCTGAGAAAGACCCAGCCCAACTGAACCCAGAGGTCAAGAGGAGCCCTTCGGCTCGGTACGCAGGTGCCTGGGAGACCCGGTGGCTTCCCGATGGCCCAAGCACCGAGTCACATTAAATCATTCCGAAGTAAAGGTATCCTTGTCAACTCTCCCGAGTCCCTCCAGCATGGTGGAGCCCTGACACCTAACTCGAAAGGAACCCGCCCAAGACCAGAGCCCTCCCAACACAGTGGTATTTACCTAGACTTCTGGAGCCTGGACTGTGTGTTGACTGTGTACTTCCCTGGCTTGTATTTTAGGTATAGCACACACTACAACTTTCGCTACTGTGAGGTGGCACGTTTAAGTCTAAAATAGGCTTAGCCGAAGCCGGTTTGGCTCAGTGGATAGAGCGTCGGCCTGCGGACTGAAGGGTCCCAGGTTCGATTCCGGTTGGGGGCATGTGCTTGGGTTGCGGGCACATCCCCAGTGGGGGGTGTGCAGGAGGCAGCTGGTCGATGTTTCTCTCTCCTCAATAAAATATATTTAAAAAAAATAAAATAGGCTTAGATTTTTTTTAAAGAGTAGCTTGCTTCAAATAAAAATATTAAGTCAGTAATTATACAAGCAGGATTTGAGAATGACAACAAACAACAACCGTGAATGTATAAAGTTTGAGAAAAGCCATATTATGGAGTATGTCTTCTGGGAGGAGTTGGGCGGTGGGGCCAGGGAGTAGCATTTCAACAGGCAGAGATGAGAATTTGGAGCGGAACAGCATTCGCCAAGATGTACTTAGGAACAGGGAGCATTGCACTGCGGTGACTGAAGCTAAGGCGGTGAGGAGTGGCCGGCAGGCAGATGAGAGCCAGGAGCGCTGAGCGCTGCAAAGGGGATGACCATGTGAGGGCGCCACTTGTAAAGGGGTCCCAGCCACCGGGGAGAGGAATCCCCGAGGATCACACACAAAGCACAGGTGCAAGTCAGCACCCCAACCTGACAGTGTGCCTGGACACCAAACCTCTTTCCACGAGGACTCCACCTGTCTTTTTAGATTGATATCACCTGGGGAAGATCTGAGCTTGGCTATTCTTCTAAGGGAGATGCTCGGTGAGCTGTGGGTTTGGGGATCTCCAAGGAAATTGAGAAGAAAAGACAAGCTGACTTTTCTGACTGGGGGCTTTCTTGGTGGTTATCACATTGGCTGGCCCTCCTGATCCTCAGCCAAGTTCAAGGGCAAGAGCACAGGGTGGGGCTGGACGGGGAACTCTTCCTACAGTGAGGAGCCCCAATCCTTTTCCAGGACACCCGACCCTGGGCCCCAGAGCCCCTGCCCTTCTAGCACAGGTGGCTTGGAGCCAGGCACTACTAAAAGCCCACAGGGGGCAGGGGGCCAGCAGGATGTCCAACCTGCAGAAGGGCCTTCAATACCTCCCCTTTCCTGCCATGTGACCAAATAATATGCTGTTCTTGCTGACTAGCTAGCCGAATCCTCCCCGGTGCAAAGGGCAACCACAGGAAGGGTCCGGTTCTCTCTCGGGGCTCTGCCTATGGTAACAGTTGTGCAGGAATCATGCCTAGCCCACTTTTCCAAATAAAAACCAGGAGTGCACAATCTGAAAAGATTCCAGGCTCCAAGTACTCTTTGGGGGTTATCATTCAGACACTAAAATATTTTCGTTTCTAGGGGATTCTGATGATTTATGGAGAAGAAGGAGGAAAAAAAAAGCTGTGGGAAATTCCATCTGTCCTAGAAATTCAGAGCATCTGATCCATCACTTGTAGCCCAACAAAGGGCGAATCTCTGAAAGGCCCGCACACCAGAAATCGCCCATCAAGCTCATCTACTTATTCCAGAGTTTGGTCACTGTCGTGTGCATACAGGATCTTGTAAGAGAAGGATGGGGAAAAAAAAAAAAGAGAAAAGGATGGGAATTCTGATGTTACAGGTAAGCAGAGCAAAGGTCTCCAAGGGAACTCCCTTTGCCTCTGCCTGAGATCACTAGCGGTAAAAGCTGTTTTACTATTTGAGGATTCCTACATACCAGCTGCATTCCTACCTATAGGTGAGTTGGAGGTCACCACAGCACACTCCAAAATGCCCTTCACTTTAATAAATTTATCAGTAAAAGCACATCATTGAAAAGATGCTTTAATGCAAAGTTCAACATGAAGCCGATTCTTCAAGACCCAAACCACCATCAGGGGGCTCTGGATGTAAGACCAGTCGGTTTTGCCCCACCCGTAAGAACCTGCTCTGACTGAATAATGTTTTATAATCATCTTCAGCTTAATCCCCCCCACACTCGGGGGTTTCCTGGAGAAATTGCGCTCAGATGTTAGTGCAAGAAACTTCCCTCAGATGTCTACTTCATCTAATCAATGGAATTTTTTTATTTTTTCGAAAATGTGACACCTTTTAAGGGACTGTGTTTCCCTTTTTGCTTTGACTGCTAGGGAGCTCACAGCAAAAATGAAAACCCAACTTTATCTCATGACTATGTACTCTCGTCAAATCCTTTCTGGAAGAGGAAGAGGCATAAAACCAATCAATCAAAAGATTTGTTCCAGAAAGAAAGGAACAGTATAAATACAACATTCATAGGAGCACTCCCCTCTGCACTCAACTAGTCCCTCAAGTGGAACAAAGGCTACTCCTACTGTTCCCTGTGAAACAGCAGTGGAGGTCCCTCAAACCCCATTCCACTACAGCAGCGGTTCTCAACCTGTGGGTCACGACCCCTTTGGGGGTCGAACGACCCTTTCACAGGGGTCGCCTAAATACATCCTGCATATCAGATATTTACATTATGATTCATAACAGTACCAAAATTAGTTATGAAGTAGCAACGAAAATAATTTTATGGTTGCGTCACAATATGAGGAACTGTATTAAAGGGTCGCGGCATTCGGAAGGTTGAGAACCACTGCGCTACAGAATCGCATTTTTCAGACACCATCCATAAATCTAAGAGATGGCTCGGGGATGGTGTGGTGGTTGATCCTTCCTGTGCCCCCAACTGCTCCCTCTCCCTCCATCGCACCATCCAGGGACATCTCGGCCTCTTGTGATAACCTGCAGGATGCAGGTTCCAGAGCAGCTCGGCTGATGAACCACCAAGGACAGATTCTCAAGGCCCATCCCCGACTTGCCTTTCAAGCTTCCGGGCTCAGAAATGCCCAGGGGCATAGAATCACATCCTACTCAAGGGCCTGGGTCAGGAGCTAGGTCCTATCAGAAGATGGACACAGTCAAAATTGAAACCCGCAGTCCCTCAAGTTCCTCACACAGTACCTACGGCTACGTCTCTACTGTGTCCTCAGGCAAGGTTCTCCTGAGCCCCCAGGGAATTCTCCAGTCTTTCTTGGGCGTGTTGGGTTCTCCGCACCACCCACTTGCCACCCCAACTGAAAAATGCGCGGACTGCTTTGTCCATGGGAAGGACACCCTGCAAATCACTCACACGTTCCTTCTGGGGGTCTGTCAACATGCCCGGGCTCCGCCGGCTTTGGCGGCCACGGCTGGTCCAGGCTATTCGGCAGCGATGACACATGCCGAGGCTCAGGCAGTGGTTCTCACCGGGGCAGAGTTTGCCTCCAGGGGACATCTGGCAATGTCAAGCCGCTTTGAATGGCCTCAACCGGGCAGGTGCTACGGGCATCCAGCAGGGAGCAGCCAGGGATGCCGCTCACCACCCCCACTGCACAGGACAAGGCGCTATGCGGCACAAAAGGCCAGTAGCACCCGGGCTGAAAATCCCCGGCATCAGATGGGTTAAGTGCAAAGGTGGTGAAGACCGATTCGGGTGTGCCCCTTGGAATTCTAGTGCCCCAAGAAGTGCTCACCATCCTGGCACCACCTACCAAATGGTCTCATGTTCTGGTAAGAAACGCACGTTGAGGTGCCTGGGCAGCATGAGGGGAAGGAAGGGGAGCTAAACTTATCAAAATCTTCAAAGGGAACACTCCTAACGATTTCAATCTTGTCAAATGTCTAAATGTTGACAAATACTTCGGGAAAATGAAAAAAACGTACCAGGGAAGAAGTTGCTTAGGCAAAGAATAACTTGACTACCAGGAGCAACTTATTTTCTAAGGGACTTTTCTCAACTCAAAACCATCCATGCTGAGTCCTGAGCAGGTGAGGGGAGGGAGGGCAGGCCCAGTTTAAGTCCTGGTCCTATCAGATGACCAGCGAGGTGACCGTGAGCCAATCACAGCTCTGCTCTGTCTCCTGTGCTGACGTCAGAGGGTCGCACAAAGGAATGGTGGCACTGGAAACCAAACCAAGAAACCGGGAACTGGGAGCGTCACTTACCCTCCTGCTTGGGAGATGGTTCTTTGGGTTCCTTCTTGTTTTTCCGACCCTCCCGCCCAGAATGGTCTTCTCCTAAATCTATGACAAGTTCGCTCTCCGAGTCAGAGTCCAGGCCCAGGTGGACCGTTGGGGAATCCGTCTCATCCTTCCCCTTCAGCTTATCCTTCGTGGGGTGAGGCGAGGGTTTGGCTTTCTCGGGGAAGTCCTTCTCAGGCGGGGGGCTTGCCTTCTCCTTGACTGAGCCTGGGTCTGCTTTCTCGCTGGGGGGCGAAGCGCTTTTCAGCTCCTCTTTGATCTCCACCGGGCTGGCCAGCTTGGGCTTTGTTTTGACCGCAGACAGCTCTTTGTCCACCTGAGCGCCCTCCTTGTCTTCCACGTCTTCCGGCTCATTCTTGGACTTCTGCTCGTCGTCGCTGATATACTCACTGTCGCTACTGTCTGACTTCTCGGAGTCCTCCGAATCGCTGTGCTCTACCGCCGTGTAAACATCTTCCGAGATTTCATTTATGCCTAAATTCAAAAAGACAACCCAGCATGTGGCGTAGTCACAACATAAAGAGCAGGACCAAAAACGTCAACATTTTCCCCGCCCAACGCTGGAAATAAAGAAAGAAAACATTTCAAATCGCATCACACTGGCCTGGGGCGGGGAGCAGTGAACCAGATGCCCCTGAAGTCTGCTGACAAATGGAACCTGTGTTCGGAGAGGGTTCCAAAGACAACGTGGGACCAAACAACATAAATCCGGGAGCTAAATCTCTGCAATATTGATAGCTAATTGGGATATGGGAAATGGGAGAGATGGAAGGGAACACCAGAGAGACACTTAAAATGGATCCATGTTACAGAATAGAAAATAGAGGCCTACAGCAATCCCTTGTCCCTCGGACACAAAGAAAACCCTGGGCTCCTGACTCACCAAGTACTGTTCTCACACATTCCCAAAGCACAAATGCCTTTCGCCCTTAGTGTCCAGCACGCAAAGAAACACGCCAAAGCCTTAAAGCGGAGACTGCAAACTCACAGCCCGGGAGCCGCATCTGACCACCAGCACATTCTATTTGGGAAGCAATGGTTGGGCCCACAGGGTAGTTTGTTGTTGGCTCTTGCTTTTTAATTTGGAACTTATTGCCCAATTCACAAATCAGGGGATTTCACACAGAAATCAAGCTGGCAGGCTTTTGCTGAGAGAGCAGAACCTGGCCACTCTGGTTGACAGGCCCGTGAGGTAAAGGGCTTCTGCTGCTGTAGCTACTGGTCAGACATAAGGAGGACAAGCAGGAGGGCATGACCACACGCGTGACAGGAAAAGCTTGGGTACTAGAGCCCAAAGGACAGGAATTCAAATCCTGAGCCACTGCTTTCATTCGCTGTGTAACCCTGAACGAGTGACCTCCTTCTTTAAGCCTCAGTTTCTTCACCTGCAAAATGGGACTGATAATGGTATCGATCTCCCAGGACAATCTCTGCGCGGTGCTTCCTTAGCTGTGACTCCAAACCACAGCTCCTTGCTCACCCAAAGGTCCAAGGCCCCCACCAACACATAAACCTCACATGGAGTGGCTCTCTCAGGCCCAGCCATCCCCAACTTCTTTATAAATGCCCTCCTTGATCTACTTATTCAACCAATATTCCAGAGCATTCCTATGTGCACAAGACAAGTACCTTGAAAGAATGCAAATCCTCCTAAGGCGACCTCCCTGCCCTCGATGAGCTACCAGCCTAGACTGGGAGGGAGACCCCCCACAGAAAGGGACCACTGTTGCTTCTAAGCAATGACGTATCCAAGTAGGCGGGCAGATAGGGAGAGCAGTCGGAGGAGACTTCCTGGAGGAGGTGACACCAAGCTGAAGGCAGACAGCGTGGGGAAAGAGGGAGGGAGGCTATAGGTACAGAGGCAGGATGGGTCTGCTGGGTGGGGAGGCCCCGTCTGGAGGAGAAGGCTTTATGTCGTACACTGGCAGGGCAAACCTGATCCTGATGCCAGGACACTGACAGGCACTGAGAGGGTGCACAGAGGCAGATGCGGGAGGGCCAGTCCGCTCCTAGAGCACCTGCACCTGGCACCTGCAGGCTGCCACAGCCTAAGAACAAACTCGGAGGAGTTCAAAGAGCCTGTCCGAACAATTAGCCAATCTGAAATATTTTGCCACGAGTGGAAATATGTGTTAGTTGAGCAAACAACTCAGGGTTTGAAGCAGCCAGGATCCACCTTTGACGTCTCCTGGGTGGTGTCCCCACAAATGATGATGATGATGCTGGTGATGAAAGCAAACCAAAGACATACCTAGTTGTGCTTTGCAACTCTCTATCGTCTTGTCAAGATTGAGCTGGAACCTGCTGCGGATCTGCCGCTTGGGAGAGATGAGAGGCACGGGGGCAGCCTGCTGCTGGACGGACTCGCTCAGCTCCTTCAAGTCCATCTCGGCCTTGCTTCGATCTGGAAGATACCATCCCGCCCTCGTCAGACCGGGCATTACAGGGGCAAACAAACAACTCGCAAACAACACGTTTTAGAACATGGGAGGGAAAAGACCTAAAACATTTTTTGTCATTTGTCCCAGCAATACCCTCGGCTTGATGACACGGGCTGACCTGGGAGATAGCAGCCCCAGAAAACACTTGGCAGGTTTACTCAGTATTTAAAACACTCCGTCCCAGCCAGGTGGTTGTCTGTGGAGCTCCGCATCGTCAGGGAATGTCGAACGCCAAAGGTTACCGTCCTGAGCTCAATCTCAGCATTAGCAGAGCAAGTGGCACCCATCTGGCCAGACTGCGCTTTAACCCCAAGGCCACATCAGAGAGGCTTGTACCCGAGAGACGCCGAGCCCCTCTGAGAACACGCTGATAACTGGGAGCCCGGGCTCCTCATTGATCACAGAAGCGTCACTCTTCACTCCTCCTCACCCTAGTCTGGAGCGTAAATTGGAAAGGCAGAGGAAACTAGAAAAAGTGGCAGACCTTCCAGCCAGCCAGCCTGCGGGAAGGGAAACAGATTAGCCCTGGATATTACATCTGTGTCCTCTCACTCAGGTAAGAGGAGTCCGAGCTCCTCTCCACAGTCCCAGGCAAAGGCCTCCGACTGCTGATGACTCACCCGGCCGAGGTCCTGCCCCCACCCCCCTCGGCCATGGGCTCTTTATAAGAGCAACTGGGCCAGATTCCATGCGTTTGCATTTCTTTTTTCTTTTCCTTCTTTAAATGCAAATGATTTTGCCTTTAGTATTCTTTGATAAGTCTTCCAAAAAAAGATTTTTTTTATTGATTTTGAGAGAGAGGAAGGCAGAGGGAGGGAGAAACATTGATGTGAGAGGTGACACATCCATCAGCTGCTTCCTGCATACCCCCTACCAGGGATCAAGCCACAGCCTGGGCATGTGCCCTGACCAGGAATCGAACCCACAACCTTTCAGTGCTCAGGATGATGCCCAATTAACTGAGCCACACAGGCCAAGGCGAGTTTGCATTTCTGGAATTCCTTCCCTGCCTCCTCTAGTGTCCTGGAAACAGAAGAAGGGGACAGAGGAAGGTGGCTGCAAAGGCCCAGAGGCACGGGAGATTCGCAGGCAGGAGCAGCACCGCCCATCCTGCCTGCCACCCTCCGGCCAACCCCTAGCTGAGAATGTGGGCGTATGCCCCACCCAGACTGATCCCGGAAAAGCAGTCAGAAAGCATGTGGCATCGAGTCAAGGACACAGAGGAGCTACCACGGAGCCTGTCTGTCTGCACCGGCTCAGAGCTCACTCCCCGACTTCCCTTCATCTCCCTGCTACACCCGCCCAAAGGCCGCCTCCGTCGCCCAGGCTGTTCGAGGCCCAGGATACAGAGTGAGCGCTGGACCACGAGGGCTGTTCGAAGCCTTCACTCTCTCCCTTCGATTTTGTTTTGTTTTCCGATTTGACTCACAAACCATCTCCTTCGCTCAGGAACAGGCCACTTCCCCACACTGCACGCTCAGACTCCTTCCTTTAAAGTGACCGCAGGTGGCCTCCCAAATGCCCCACCCAACACAGGTGACCAGAGCAACAAATTGCTCAGAACTGATTTTATCACCACAACGAGGCCTCCACTAGGATGAGGAAGGCCCTTTGCCCAAAAACACCCTCGGAGCGGGCTGCCAGGGAGATTCCAAGAGTGACAGCATCCTGAGAAACAGCAGTGTGCGTGTGTGTGTGAGTGTGTGCGTGTGTGCGTGTGTGTGTGGGCATGTGTGTGTGAGTGTGTGCGTGTGTGTGTGTGTGCGCACGTGCTGACCAGGGCCTCTTCAGAGAGCCGGCAGCACCGGGACTGGAGACGCTCACAGGTGTGAGTGCACGGCCACTTTGGACGGAAAGAATTTACTGCAGAAGCACCTTACAAAGCTAGGACAGAGGGAAGCAGTGATCAAACAGCAAGAAGGAGAAGGCAGAAGAGGAGGACCAGGGAAACAAGAAAAACAGACACAAATAAAGACAGTACAAACAGGACGTAGGGACTTAACATTGAAGCTCCAAATGTGACAGCAAAAGGGAGACTATGAGGTCTGCCTGGTCATTTCTGTTCTCAGAAAGGAGGCCGCACACTGGATTCCAGAGGGAAAGGCAGCTCTTTCAAGCGTAAGTTAGAAAAGGAGCATCTCACAGAAATACTGCGAGGTGGGGTGGGAGGAGGGCTGCTACCCAAGTGATATGCTCATCAATGTCCTCAATAACATCCTCGTACAGTTCATCGGTTCCATGTAGCAGGCACAGAAAAACACGCTTACTATACCCAGGGGTCAGCAAACGTTTTCTGTAAAGGGCCAGAGAGGAAGAAACTGTATGGACCATACAATACAGGATTTACTGCAAAAGCGAAAAGAAACAATATGTAAACAAATGGGTATGACTGTGTTCCAATAAAACTTTATTCAAAAAGCAGGTGGGGGCCAGATTTGATCTGCAGACTACATAATGTGCCATCACCTGTATGCGTCCCAGTGACTGCTAACCGGGCTACACACAGATATTACCTGTAGAGCTTCAAAAAAAAAAAACAAAAAAAAAATCCTAATGCCTTGGCCACCCCCCGCCACCCCCAAGACTGGCCTGGGGTACAGCCTGGGCAGTGGCCTTTTAAAAGTTCCCTGGGCCATGCTGACGGCAGCTAAGGTTGAGAACCCTGTGTTAGGCCAATGTGAGTGAAGAAAACTCCTCATGATCTGCCTGAACCCCAGCGTATCTGTGTTGACACACACCACCACACTTCTAAACCTTAGGGTTCATAGAAAGAGACCTACCCCTCATAATAGAGAGGAATGAAAAGGCAAAGAGAGGGCCGCATTTTACAAAGTAAGGCTGCTCGAGTCCACAAGCTACTATAATATTTATTCTGACAAGAAACGACCACAAACCGGGGGCTGGGGTCAGGTCCGTGGGAGCGGAACTGCAGTTTGGCCACATGTGATCATCTTTCTGAAACTTTCAGCTGCACTTGCCTCTCCTCCGCTGAGAGCGGAGAAGGGCTGCTCTCTCCCTCAGCTCCCAGGCGACTCTTCCCACCCCTGCCCTTCTATATCGGGCGGATCTTCCGAATCCACCCTTGCTGCCAGCATTTTGAACTTTTCAGCTGATATGAAGGCAGCGCAGGCTACAAATGGAAACAGTGATTTTTTTAAAACCCACGCTAGAGAAAGAGGCACGATCCTACATTTCTGGAGGGAGCACAGATGGAAGAGCCCCTTTAGAGGGCAGTTTGGCTGTTTGGACAGCCAGACGTCAGCTGCACGTGGCCTCTGACCCAGGTTCCACTTCTGGGAACTCATCCTGTGGATACACACTCCCATGTGGGCAAAGCGTCTTTATCACAGCGGTTATCAACAGCAAAAAAAGGGGGGTGGGGGGCCAGGGGAAAAAACCTGGAGTCCATAACTAAGTGCCTGGATAAATAAGGTGCAGTTCACCTTGAAATGCACCAAAATGCAGCTGCTGAAACGTAGCAGATCTCCGCGCACTGCTCGGACAACCAGCCTGCTTACTGAGAAGGGCACAATCAGCGCACTCTAGCACTGGTGTGGGGGAGAAAGAAGGAAACGGAGGATAGATATGAATACGCCTGTGTTCTTGGGGCTTCTCGATGCTGGCACTTAAGACATTTGGGGCCGGACAGGTCTCTGTTGGGGGCAGTGACAGTGGGAGGGCGGGCTGCCCTACACATTGTAGGATGTTTAGCAGCAACCCTGACCTCCACCCCTAGGTGCCAGTGGCACCCACATCCCAGCTGTGGCAATAAAAATGTCTCCAGACATTGCACCATGCCCGAGGAACAAAAATCACCCAGTTTGAGAACCACTGGGATGTATCTAGGCGAGCTCTCCACAGCGACTAAAACACAGTGGTCACCTGTGAGGAGCGGGTACAGAGGCAGGTGATCAGAGGGTTGCAGCCAGGATGGCTTTTCATTCTGTCCTGTGAACTTTCTCTCACCGTGTGCATTCACTGCTCATAAAAACACGGAGCCCTGGCTAGAGTGGCGGCCTGAGCACTGAAGGATCCCGGGGCCAATTCCCGATCAAGAGCACGTACCTGGGTTGCGGGTGCGCTCCTGCCCCAAGTCGGGGCACGTGCAGGAGGCAACAAGTCGATGTCTCTCATATCCATGTTCCTCTTTCCATCTCTCCCCCTCCCTCCCTTCCACTCTTTCTGAAAAGCGATGGAAAAAAATGTCCTCACGTGAGGATTAACCAAAACAAAACCAATTAGCTTTTTAAAAGAGAAATATAACCACTTCTTTTTTCAGTTAAAACCAAAAAAAGGAGGAAAAAAACCCAAAACTCCTTTGTTCCAAAGCTGCCTGGAGACTCTACCGGGTGGACTTCCAGGAGCCACAAAACGGCAGGTCCTTCGGGGAACAACACTCAGACAGGAGACTCCAGCAGATGGTCTCCTGGCCGTGAACGCCAGGCAGAGACCCTCCTCTGTGGGGAGCCGATATAGGGTTAAGCCTCAGGCTGACCTGTTGGTAAAGTCACAAACAATTCCCAGTGTAGAGGGCAGCCCTCTTAGCATAATTAGGCTTGACCTTAGGAGGCTCCCTAGATCTTATCTGGGAAGCTAATGGGCTGAGGAAGTGCAGGAAGTATAACCATGGTGTAAACAAGTGAAACTCACAAGAACAAAAACAAGTGAAACTCACAAGAACAGTGTAACTTTGGTAACTACTACCTTGTTTACCTCTCACTATAAAATAAAGGCTCAGCTTGCCTTGGGGTCTCTCTCTGTGGCCTCAGCCAGGCACAGGAAGATCCACGGAGACTAAGGAAAGCTAGAGAGTTCTGAACACAGTCTCCATGTAAAACATTCTTCGCCGACTCCGTCCACACCTTTGGGACCCCCTGGACCCCTGGGGCGGGCCCCGGCACTCCTCACTGCAAAAACCAAGACCACCTCTGGGAGACCCAGGCCCTGCTCTGCATCCGGCTCTCCGATGCCTGGCTGCCAAGGCCCTGCTCTGTGTGAGAAAGGAAGGATGCCTCCGGGCAGCCTCCGGGAGGAACAGACAAGCAGACACGCTCCATTGCTTGGGCGGCACCGGGCGCCCACCAGTGGGGAGAGCAGCAAAGCACGTTTTGTCACTTGCAGGCCCCGAAACTGCTGGGTGTGCCCAGCCCCCAGCAGACACCCTCTGTGAGATAAGAGATGAGGATTCGCAGGCCAGGCGAACCGGAATGCAGACAAGAATCAGGGCCTCCTCTCTCTCCTAGTCTCACCAGCACGTCCTCACTATGTCACTAGGATGACGGGTTAAGCCACAGGAGGGGCTGTGACAATCCTCCAGGGTTTGTTTGGCTCCTTTTTTGGAGCTGAGAGGAGAGGCTGTGTGCCAGCAGCAGGCTGAGGGCAGTCTGCGTAAACCTTCCCCTCGCTCATGCACAGTAGCTATGAGAGTAATTAAGCAACCACGGATGACCCATGGGCTGGTTTTCCGTATTTTTAGTTGTATTTATTTGACCTGAGTAAAGTTCTTTTTATTTTTGATGAAATCGACATCACATTTTTAAAACTAGGAGAATTCACACAAAACTCAGGATTTCTGTTTTTCTGAAAACTCAGAATCTGACAACACAGGTTCAAGTGGTAGGAGCTGCTTCCTTTAAAAGGGCACCTCGTCCTCTGTGTGATCGCCCATTCCAAATTGTCACTCTACCCCCAACCCCTTTCAAGGGCACATGGAAGTCAAAACAGGGCCACATCTTAAAGCATTTCAGTTCCCATAGCCCAGTGAAGAGCTCCAGCTACACAGCAAAACAGGCCCGAGTCTGAAGGCCCAACTTCACCTTGACCCACGTGTGACCCTGGGTAGGCAACTTCCCTTCTCTGGGCCTTCTGTGGAATGGGGCTAGTACCTACCTTTGAGTCATTTTCATCTGCAGAGAGTAAAATTCAGGTTTTGGGGGATACAGCTCTGAGTTCTAACACTGGCAGAGATTTGTGGGACCACCACCACAAACAGAATGCAGGACAATTCCATCTGCCCCTGACCCCCTGAGATCGCAGTCAAACCGTCCCCAACCCTCCCACACCCGACAATCGCTGATCTGTTTGCCATCCCTGTAAGCTTGCCTTTCCCGGTGTAATTTTTTTAATTAAATATTTTGTTAGATGTAATAATGTCGTCATTATCCCTGGCACTTCTGTCTGCTCCAAGTAGTCACACAGATGATAGACATAATGAAACACCATAAGCATTGGTCCCCTCCCTGGGATCCTGGAAAAATACTTCGCATCCCCTTCCACTTTCCCATTTCTCAACCCACCCGTGGCGCTTCTCACGGATCCCTCTCTGATCCTCTTTCCAGTAGGGGATTGGAACCCCAGCCTAAAACGCTGGATTGAGCAGTGCAGGCTCAACGCCTGCAGGCTCAATTCCAAGGCTTCCGCTCCTGCTGACAAAATGAGGCCCGCGTCCCCCCCAATGGGAAGGAGAGGCCTGGTCCCACTGTGCCCGCCCACCCAAACGCAGGGCAGGAAGCAGCGCACACTCCCACGGTGGGTCAGGCCAAACAGGAAGTCCCCGTGTCACGAGGATGCCCACGGTACGCCTGGGTTAAGGAAGGAGCTATTCTTGCCATGCGTGGCTGGCAAAGAGGAAATGCGGCGTGAGAACACCTCCACACGGCAGTTCTTTTCGGGGTGTGGAGGTGGGAGGGAGGCATGAGAAAGCAAACCACACTGCTGAGGAGGTGACTCTTCCCCAAGGCAGCACACGGGTCGCCTTTCTGTTCACGTGAGCGATTCCCACCAGTGTATCTGAGCTGGAGCCCCTACATCCCCCTGACGGGTCAGTCACATCTGCGTGGCCCTGACGGTGACAGGGCGCACAGGGCACTGGCTCCATGGAGCACACGCTTGGCCCTGCCCTGCCGCCACCTTCGGGCTCTGCCATCCGGCACCAGAAGCCACCTCTCCAGACCCGTTTCCCCATCCGAAAGGGCACTGCAGGAAAAGGTGAACCCGGAAGGCACCGACTGCCACAGGCTCTAGTCATGCTGGAGCACCTCCGAAAGCCCTGTTCTAGAGGCCTTACACACACACACACACACACACACACGGAGGCTTGCTCCTGCCCCCCTCCTGCTGACCTGTCTCCATGTCATGTCCCAGGGCCCCCACCCGCCCTTTATGCCCGAGGCCAGGGTCTTCATCTCAGCACTACCGCCACTGGGATGAGATAATTCCCTGCTGGGGGGTTGGGGTGTGGGGGCAGGCTTCCTGGGCAGCGTAGGCTGTGTGATAGCGTCCCTGATCTGCAATCACTAAATCGCTCAATGTCAGTAGCAGGCACCCCCTGCCCAGCTCTGTGAGAACCACTGCTCTAGCCCACCCCGCGTATAATCAAGATTCTCCGAATGACACCTCCTGCCTCGACCTGGCCTCAGGGCACCAAACATACAAAACCTAAAACTGAACCCTTGGCTCCTATTTCTCCTGCCACATCCAATTTGTCAACACAGTTACTGGCACAGCCCAGTAATTCCTGGCTGTGGCGGCCTACTATCCACTGTAGGGTGGTCAACAGCATCCTGGCTTCTACCCACCAGAGGCCAGCAGCACCCCCCACCCCCAGGGGTGACAACCAGAAATGTCTCCAGACCCTGCAAGTGGCCCTTAGGGGAGGGAGGAACTGCCGGGTTTGCGAACAGCAGAATGGGCTAGTCTACGTAGCAGCCAAGAGTCCTTCTGAACTTCTCAGTCAGTTCACATCCTGCACTGCTCAATCCAGGGTCCTCGGCCCCCGTGCTCTCTAACCTCACCTCCTAACCTCCCACCTGGGCCTCCTTGCCCCTCCTCTCACACACGAAGCTCATCCTTACCCTCGGGCCTGTAATGTTCTTGTTCCTTCTGGAATGTTCTTCCTCCTGGTCCTGGCACGACTGGTTTTTCCTGTCATGCAACTCTCCCCTTCAAAAAGACCTTCCCTAACCCTTCCACCCCCCGAACCACTGCCTCTTCTCCCCACCTCCACCCCACCCATCTCTCTCCTTATATCAACACATTTTACCTTCTGGAATGAACTGTCCTGTTTATCCATCCGTATGATTCTCTGTCCCGTTCTAGAACCCAAACGCCACAGGAGCAGGGCCCTTCCTCCCCGCACTCTGCCCCATGCCAACGCCGTACACAGCACATGACAGACGCGCAATAAAAACTAGGAAACGGTGGAATGAATCAGGAAAATAATAACTTCATAGAGTTAGGTAGTTAACATTTCCAATGCCAATTTCTGCTAAAGACTTTGACCTAAGAATATACTGCACGTAGACAAGGTAAATACTGATTCATAATACTCAATGTATGTGCGCACACACACACATATAACTTCAAGTATATATATTTACATGTGAGAACTGGGTTACCATGGTCAAGGGCAAGTACAGCTGTAAACACTGGCCTAAGATACTTCAACAGCCCCCAGGAAACCCCTCACTTGTCCCTTTTATTGACCAATCTTCATGTTCCTCTACTTTCCCTTTTACACGGTTTACTCAGAGAGTTCAGAGTTCAAGAACCACACAAGAGGGCATCACAACCTGCAAAAATATGCAGGTGCCCCAGCAAGAGACTCCAAAAATCGCCACTGACCCAGGTTAAGGTTCAGGATGCTTCCGGTGGTGGCCGTCTTGTCTGCTTTCGTCGTGATTGGCGTGGACGCTTGAGGAGAGAAAGGTTTCGGGCTGCCCGATAAACTCCCCGCTTGGCCCATCTTCATGGAGGCCGGCGACGCTGAAAAGATAAGGCACTTGTTAAAGGACAGAGTTACGAAGAAATAAACAAATCAGACTTGTAGGTAGGTGTGGGGTGGGCAAGAGCCGAGAGACTGTATGTGATTCCAGCAGGGCACCAGAGCAGGGGGCAGCGGGCAGGGCCGGCCATCGGTTTCAAAGCAAAGGACGTCCTCCCCATGTTAAACCATTTCGGCCACACAGAAAGGAGGCCTCCCAGTTATTCTATTAGACACAAAGCTCTAAGACAAATCGACTAAGCTGCCACTGAAATTGGTTTGGCACATTCATGGGTGTGAAAAATCTCAAAATAAATAGCAATTTAAAGCGGAGACCCCAGCACGGGCCAGGCGCAGAGACCAGAGCCAGGCTTGCAGATGGCATGTCACCCAATTGTGGGAGACGCAGGGGTGGGCCTCACAGCTACTGCATCTGCCAAAGGCCAACTGGACCCCTCAGGAGAGCTGGGACTCCCAACGTCACAGGGGCAATGCTGACGGGAGCTAAATGCAGCCCCGAGGGAGTGATGAGACACTGGTCAACTACCCCCCCTTTACATGGGTGCTTGCCTCCATTTCCTCACCTGCCAAATGGGCACGCTCAGAGTGAGCATCAGTAACGGATACACCAGTACACCTGAGGTCACTTCATCTCCAGCGCCAGGCCCTGCCAATGCTGCACTGAACGTAAGACAGTGGGAGAGACTCTAGATGCAGAGAGAAATGGACTCAGGCATGGACTGGAAGCCAGACTGAGTGCAAGTCCCAGCTCTGCGCTGACTTGCTGTGTGACTTTGGGTACGTTACCTCGTCTCTGAATCTCCTTTCCTGGCAGCAACCAAGAGGAAGACTAACAACGCCCTACAAAGGGAAGGTGAAAGTCCCTACACTCATCAAGTTGTAAGGACCAAGTCAGTCAGTCATCTGGACAGCTGTCTGGCATCTGTTAAGTACTACCCTGGGCATCGCCTGCTCTGAGTGTAGTAGAAGTTCCTATTTCCCATTCACCTCTGGGGCTTCGGTTTCAATCATCCAAACCAGCAGTTCTCCTCCAGGGCACACAGGGCAGTGTCTGCGGATGTTTTTAGTTGTCAGACCAGGAGACAAGGTGCTCCAGGCACCTTAGGAGGTAGAGACCAGGGATACGGCTAACATCCTACAGGACACAGGACAGCGTCCCTGAGGAAGAACTATCTTGGCCTCAAATGCCAACAAGTGCTGAACTGATCGCCCACACGGGGACCGCAGCCGTGTCTCTGGGAATCCTTCGCCTCCCCCGGAAATGCGGAGCAGAGGTAGGGAGCAGGTCACCTGGGCTGAGCGAGTGCTCAAGAAACATTCGAAACCATTGTGAGGACTCAGCTCTTTTGAATACTGAATCCAATCAGTTTTACTGTAAGAACGAACGAATACCTGGCCCAGCATTCCGCATTCTGAGGGCTGTTGTTATCACTGGTTCTCACCCTTCTCCTCTCACCACTGCTAGGATAACAAGCAGAAATAAAGTGCTTGTTACCTAAACCAACAGGAATAAATGACGTTAAAGACATTTTAAAAGATTTCAATATTTCCAATAAAACCTTTAGTGTCGGGGTGTTTCTTTGGTTTTGTTTTTCAGTAATCCACTCACTTATGTGCCCCCCGCTTCCAAGAGACTTCCGGTGGCTGATAGGATCAGTAGAATGCCCTCCCCACGAGGGCTACAGACCAGGCTTTTCGAGCTGTGCTCTCTGACACGGCCGTCGCCACCTTTTGGACCTTGCGGACCCCTCAGAACCCACGGACCCCCGGTTGGCGACCGACCGCTGCTCTGAAACGAATGAACAAGCCGGCCTAGCAGAGAGGGGCTCCCCTCCCACA